AAGTGTTTGTTTGTGCTTATGTGCAGTAGTGCTGATTATGGCACATTGTTTAGTAATTACAGCACATTAATGAACATGTAGTCATGCCCAGTTGTAAACTCTTATCCTGGCTGAACAAAGCAATTATCCCCTGGATAGTAACTCCCATGGCAGGAAGCCCTAGGTTCTAGTTTTAACTCCTAGGACTGTCTCTGCACTTGGCAGGAATCTGGGTATAGCACATAAACAGTAGTGGTAGTTAGTGCTGGAACCTCGGGTCCCTTTACCCAGGGGTTACCCGCATCCTTGAGCTTGTCATGTTTCTTATTGCTTGTACTGTGCTCCAGTGAATCTGAACTTTGTAGAGTGGCTTCATCTTACACTAGCCCTTAGTCTAGTGGTTAGGGTCTTCTCCAGGACATGGGTTTGTACTTTGTAAGTGCTAGACAAATGTTTTAAACATCACACTCTGGTACGAAAAGCAGGCACAATCACTAGTTCTGTTTGAAAATGCCTGGGTACTGAACTCCAGTGCTCCCTGAAGCATCTTTTGAGAGCCTGCTGGATTGGATCCTTTTAAGGATTTAGGTACAGGGATCCTTAATGTGCGAATCTCAAGTGGCCTTAAGTTCAGGAAAGGCACTTAAATGCCCAGTATTTCCAAGATGGGAGTGCCTCCAGTCATGTTGGGGTTTTTTTGACAAGCTACTAAAGGACTTATGTGGAGCTCTTTTTTAATTGTTATCGTAAATGTAAATGTCTAAAGTATTTTGTGACTCTACTATTCTTACGAATTTAGGGCACCTGTAGCAATATGGAAGAGATGGTCTGTTCCCTTCTACTTCTCAATGTTACAGGGAAATTGGCATGTCCAATTGCAGCATTTATAGAGTGAGGCTGAATAGCTAGACCATAAATTTGAAGTAAAGGAGTAGGTTAACAGCTGCAGTTATTTTCTTGTTGCATAAATCACCTTTTAATTGAATTACCTGCACAAATTTTCTTCAGTTACTGAAATTAGATTGTTTCTTTTTTCAGAATCGCCTGGTACGTCTAGTTTGTGTCTTTCTTCAGTCTTTGATCCGAAACAAAATTATTAATGTACAGGACTTGTTTATAGAAGTACAAGCATTTTGTATTGAATTCAGCCGGATTCGGGAAGCAGCTGGCCTTTTCAGGTTGCTGAAGACACTGGATACTGGGGAAAACCCCTCAGAGACCAAAGCTTCAAAGTAAGACCATGTAACAGCTGGATTGTATTCTGTATCAGTTTTTTTGTATGGTAACAGATCACTGGATTCTTTGGTTTATTATACTATAAATAGCATTTTATGCATTTAAACAAAGTAATAAATATTGCCTTTCTGATAGTAGGACATCTTGAATTTTTTTTAAGTATCATCTACAGAAGGAATAATTTTATTACTTTATTGTAATTACTTAATTCAAGCAGATAGTATGCTTGGAGGGAAAGTGTCATTAGCTTTTTCACCCTTCCGACTGCATTTATATTCTAGATCTTAATTTAGATAAGCCTCAAATCCAGAAAGTTACTAAACTTGTACAACATTCCCAATTTTAAAGCTGTTATTTTTCTCCAGACACAGAACAATGATTCATTAGGCTTTAATATTCTGGGTAGAGACAGAACTTTGGGCCAGCTTCAGCAAGCAACAAACTGGCATCTGGGGTAGGAATAAAACAGAAGCTGCTTCCAGACTATTGTGGTTGATATTAACTATTCAATGCTGAATTTGAACTGTGAAGTATTTGCCAGGATAGTATATTGTGTGCAGACCAGCAGCATATCATTTGAAGTAATTGTCACACACATTTGTAAGTGAATTATCTTTCCAAAGGCCAGGAAAGCAATTCATAGTTCCCTCATCCCTAGGGTCCAGTATAAAAAGCCTTATAGTGCAAGTGGAGGCTGTGCTAAGAATTAAACCTAATGAAAATAGGTTTAAGTGGCAGGGGGGTTAAGTAGTAACATCCAAGTGAATGCCATTCATTCTGTAAGATAAAGGTATGCTGCAGGTCTCTTTTTAAAAAGAGAAAGAAGAAACAAGTCTGTATTTCAAGGGCACTACAAAATTATCTGATTATAGTTTAGAGATGATACTGTTGTACTCAAATATACTTATTAGGTCTGCATGAAATTGTCGGCCGTTTGTTTCAACACTGTTTCGACTCATTTTGAGGTTGAAACAGCAACAATGAAACAAAACAAGGAGCATTGAAACTAGCCTCATTTTGTTTCGAGGCTGTCAAAACGTTTCGACCATAGCGCTGGAGAGGATACAAAATGTTGTTCTGTCCAAACCTCAAAACTTGAGGCAAAACAGAGCGGTGCCATTTCACACAGCCCTAATACTTATACTTTCTCTCAATTCCAGCTTTATTGGACCTGCCAACTTGAAATATAGCAACGTTGTAAAATTTTAACCAGACTTAAGTGGTCAGTTCTACACTAATGCTACATGATTCTACTTTTCTTTACAAGCTCTAATTACACATAGAGGAAATCTGTAAGTCTGGCTGGTATTCAGTGCAAAGAAATCTGTGTTCCTTTAAAACAAGTGATACCTGATTAAGGTCCACATATAAGCTAGGATTTTTGCCATCTGCTTTAATCATACAACAACTAAATTGGACTTGTGCCCTTTTCTCCATTCTAGCTCTAGTGACAGGCAGCATGAAATTAGTCCTTACATGGGAAAGTTTTCCTACTCCTAGCAGTTCAGTTGTGGACAGACATGCCATCCTTGCAGCACTTGTACCCAGATGGACTGCTTCAGCTTCACAGTAGCTTCATGTAGCAGCACAGAGCTGCAGCCTTGTCTGGAGAATGTTCTCGTTAGGGTTCCTTTTGGATTGCTTCTCCCATTTTGAACACTTCAAAAATATGTATAGGTCTATTTGGCTCAGCCCTTGAAGCACTTAGTTTTGCAGCTGGGACATAATAGATGAAGACAAAAGGATTTCCTACTGAAAATAAACACTGCTGTGGGCTTTTAGGGCAGTGGTTCCTAACATTTTATTTTTTTAATCCGGCGGACAGGCACAGGAGCAGATCAGGTGCCTCCCCTCCCAGAGCTGCCGTAGGCCCCAGCTTTAACCCTGCACATGATCATTGGCCAGACAGAGGGGGGGGACTGAGAAGGGGGCTCAAGCCACAACCCAGTAGCCAACCTTTTGCAACCTGGTGGTTAGGAACCTGTTTCAGGGGATGGTTTCAAAACCACCTATTTGTACTATTTGGTACACAGGGGCCTGATTACATGCTAGCAATATGTTCTTCCTGTGGCTGTAACCAAGAGAGGATGTGGCATTTTCTATCCACAGAAAATATATATGATTTTTAACAAAATTCAGAGGCAAGGCATGCATTTTCTTTTGAGAAGAGTCTTTCCTAGTGCAGAATAGGAAGCAACTGAAAGCTTCCTCACTACTTTGCCAATGCATCTGACTTAAATCCACCCAGAACAATTTGCTTTGAAGAATCTGATCTCTTGTGGACTCGGGAAGATTTTCTGCCCAAAGCAACAGAAAAACAAGGAGAAGAAAAATATAGCTGTAGCACTTCACAGCTTGTACTTTAGTTTTTCATGAAAACTTCTCACAGCTGGGTTCTATACCCAGATCTAAGGATGAAAGACTAGTAATAACACGCTAGGTACACTTACCTATCAGCATGCAAGCCATGGGTCAGTATTATATTCTTTAAATTTACACTAGCAATTTAAGGTAAACAAAATGAGGACCTATCAGCTCCATGTAAAGCAAATAAAAAATTAGTTTATATAATAACTTCAAGTAGTCTATTAAAGTTTTCTGGGAACATTGCATTTAATAAGTCATATAATTATGTAGATAGATTGAGTTTGCTGACAATATCTCTTTAAATACACTTAGAAACCATGCATAATCTGGACACAGGTTAAGTATTCAATGAAAATAATTGGTCATTGACTGGCTCTGACATGGAGGCCATGTACACACATTTGACTCATCTGAAAAGCTGAGATTGTGCTGATACTGTGCAGCCAGGACAACCTCAAGCATACTTCTCTCTAATACTCTGCAGGTTCCCTCAGACAGTGTGGCAGCAGTGCTCAGAGTCAGCCTGTCTCTTGCTAAGGCACTTCTGGGTTATTTTTTCCTGGAGCAGCCATTTTTGCTCTGGGAGAAAAATCCTGAACATCTGTATACTTGTACTTTCTCCTGGGACAGCAGCAGCCATCCCAGGAGAAACTGAGGGCACCTATACATGTGCCTGATGCTTGGTCTGACACATTCCAATTAAAACATGTTGAACCAGATTCAATTAATTAATTAAGACTAAATCAGAACACTCCAGCAGCTTCACCATCACATGTATTCAGCATCCCTGCACTTCAAAATGGTGGAGTCCTTTCAAGCTTGCTGAATGAGCTTTAGGTAAAGTACCCCCACTGCCATCTTGAAGCGTGCGATCCTGGATACATGAAATGCTGTGGGCATTTTTATTAGAACAGCTCCTGAGAACCACTCCAATTAAAACCCCTCCCCCTCCACCCCCCCGAGCATGTGTAAAGACACCCTGAATATCTACACACAGCTTAAGTTTGTACTACTGCCAAATTTGTTTAAGGGGAAACAAAATGTTACTCGTTCTAGTTTTGCTCAAAGTCAAAAATTTGATCCACAAGTTATGTGTATAAATAAAGGACTTCTGCAAGTGATTCAGCAGGCCAAAACCATACACCAAATGCTTTTCAGTAGTTTCCAAACAAGGACAGAGTCTTAACAAAGCAATTGTGCTTCTGTATTACAAGTGAATATATTAATTCTAATGTGAAAGAGGACCCTATTGTTGGTGACTAGCAGAATAAAAACAGCTGTGTGTTAGTGGTAATTCAGTGCATTTCCCTAGCAGTTACTTGCAGACTAATGCTTTTGGTGAAGTCAGTCTGACTGACTTCCGTACTCTTACAGCTCTTAAAGCCCTAAGTATACAAGAAGCAAAACACAAGTAATCTAGTGGAAATGCCAATTTCTTATCCTTTTTTGTAGATAGAAAAAATGGTATTATCATTGTCTGATAGACATAGCATAGGCAATATATCTACACAGTGAACTATATTTAAGTCCAATTCAAGTATGAATAGGCTTGAAGTTTCCAGATGATGCATCTGTCCCTTACATAGGCAGGTACATGTGTTCATAAAGATTTCCTACTGATCACAGTTCCAAATAAAGAATGCCATAAATAAATAAAAATCCATGAATTGATATTGATACCCAGATGGAATAAAACTTGGATTTGTGCATCTTTTAATCTAGAATTCCAGCTTCTGAATCTTCATACCATGCATCACCTGTGTGCGAAAAGACAATATTCAGCAAATAGCCATTAAGAAAGGTGCAGAATTTTATTTTGAAGCAGTGGTGGAAACTGCCATACTGATAAAAGAATCAAGACAGTTGTTTGTGGTTGAAGTAAAAGTATAAAGGAATAGAGTAACTAAGTTGTCAATCACCACCTTTCTGATCCTCAGCACTGCAACTGCAAATAACTCCATTTATCTCTAGTCACTATTTCCCAAGGTCAGAGTGGTCAATTTAGATATTCAAAGCCAAACACACTACAATAAAAATACTGCATTAGATAGTACATAAATACTGAAAATTTAAAACTAGCTGAATGCACCTACCTAGCCCTCAAGTTCTGTAAGCTTGATTTTCTTTGATTACAAAAAGATATTGCAGGTCAATAGGGTACTATTATCTAGAGCTCTCTTGAGCACTTCTAAAAGCTGCAGAGTGGTTTTAAAATGCTGACACTCACTAGGACAAAGCTGAACCTCCCTTATTGCACTCTACAGGCTAAGCCATATTTGTGATACGGTTTGAGAACTTAATACAGTAGCTTTCCCCAACTGTATGTGCAACTTCAAACACTTCTTTACTATTGCTTGCAAAGGTCACATCTAGGGAAAAAAAAGATTTATTTTTAGCTTATAACCATCTTAAGCATGGCATGCAACTAAAAATCATCTTCCTTCCTCAGGGGAGGTGGTAAGGCTAAATTGTAGCGTATCCTATTTTATAGATTGGGGGGCGGGAAATAGTAGTAGTTGTGAAGCAGCTGGGAGCATTCATTAAGGTTTCAGCAAATCTGTAATAGATCAGACAAAAGGAAACTTGCACAGGGCACAAATAGCATGTGGGACTCGCTGCCATACAGTTTTAGGTCAAGAGATTAACTGATTCATATACCTGTTAGATAATGAATAATAGTTACCTTTATCAAGCAAACTTACCATATCTGAAACAAAATATGCCCAGACTTATTTTCCATTTCCTATTATTTTAAGCCACAGGTCAGATAAGTTGGAAAGTAGGAAGAAACATTTCAGGTTTCTGTCTTTTATTACTGCTTGGTGTTCAGATATTTTTTACCCTGTTTATTTACATATTGCTTTTTGCTAAATGCAGAAAGATATTACTGAGGTCAGACTAATAATTCGCTTCAGGTGACTTTGTCATTGTGCTTCCAAAGAGAGCAAACTGCTTGTGGAGACACTGCAATTCGGCCTTTTATTGTCATCATTCCTCAGTACTGTAAAAATCCTTTTGACACTTGGCTCCACTAAGATAATACACAGCATGATGCTTTAAACTGACTAATGCAGATAATCAGAATTACTACAAATCCTACATTACTTCACATATTTAGACAGCTGCATGAGACACTGGAACTATTAATCTGGAAGCTATGGGTTTCTCAACACCTCAAAAGTTAGACGCAAGGTATCAAGTTAGGAAGTATTTATTGGAACCCCCGCCTCTGTTGAAGGACATTTGATCATTATGTCAGCAATAATTTTTGTAAGGTATTTTTCTCTCTTATTATAAAAAAAACACACACTAATTAATGTGTGTGCATATATCTCAAATCCTGGCCATCAGATTCATTTCCTAGTAAGCTATTTTCTTTAATTCAGGCAGAAACAGCTATATACTTTCTTCCTCCCTGAGAAAGTAACAGGCCTGTTTTCAGTTTGCAAGTTCCTAGTTCTCTCTCCAGATTTTCCTCAAATCTTACCTTCTAAGAAAATTAATATATTTACTATGTTCATACCTTTTACTTTTAAAAATGGCATGAAAGAAGTTACACTACTCACCACTATATTTGCTTCAGCATGACTGCCGTGTTACAAGTATCCCCAAGACATGAAATGGAGACTCACAAGACTTCAGCTGATAACTCCTTCAGGCTTCTTCTGATTGATGATCCTCACAGTCCTGATTAATCAATGTTCAACTTTGTGTCGATACGGATGGAAAAGCCTCAGAGGAGACTGTTCTGGATATATTGATGACCTTGTTTGGAGGCATAGTGGTTCCTATGAATCAAGGGGAGGTGTGTGCAAATGGTATTGCCAGTCAGTAAATATTCCACTCCTTCATTTGATTCTTATAAAATAAAGACACCAGAAGGTGCAATATTTGTGTTGACATAAGAAAGGTGAACCCTAGTAGTTGTTCCATTAGATCTTAAATGAATGATGTTCCTATCACGAAGAGAGGCAAATCATGAATATTTTTTCAAAATATTCATATTTGAGGCTCAACTGTTCACTCTACTAAATGCTCATTTTTCTTCTCTTTGAAAAGCCCCTTTATTTTTGGAACATTCATTCTAAAATTAAAAACAAAACATAAAACACAACATGCACACACCACATCAAACAACTTACTTCTGCAACTGACCCACAACAAAAATTTTAAAAGTGGGCATTTTCTTAAAAACATTCCAAATACATGTTATCTTAGAAACAAAATGCACTTTAAAACACATCTAGCAGGAGACACCATTTTAAGCAACCTGCAGTAGCTACTTACAAAAAAGTATGAGGAATGTACCACGTCATTTATAACATGACAATACTAAAATCCTAAGTCATTTAACACTATAAAGATAGTGTTGTAACTGTACATAATTCTTTACAAAATGAGTTTAGCATTGCCTTATACCATCTACAGCATGCAAGTATCTGAATAGGAGAATAAAACGAAGATGTAGGGGTTTTTATTTAGTCCGGTGCTTCAGATTTAGTGCCCCCTGCCCTTTCCAATAAGGCACAATACTGCTACTCTAGCAAAGGAATAAAAACTAGTGACAAATCCATTTAAACTATTAAATGGGAAATGCCCACAAGAAAAATGTTTAGCTTCTTGGACAAAGAGCAAAACCCTCTAATGTTATATAGATCTTGCTTCCAGTGTGTGCATAAGGAATAAGGGGGGCTTAAAAGGGAAATCCATGAAATCTCATAAATAGATTAATAAATACATTTCCTAGCCATAGTTAGCCCTTTTCTATTTAACTGAGTTAAAGATTAAAATAGAGGTAACTGATGCGCATGCTAAGCAAGTCTATACGCTCAGCATGTCAAGACTGTCCAGCAGGTACTGAAAACCAACATGTTACTGACCAGTTTGGTATAAAAGTTAATGAGATGGAAAATGTTATGTATTCTGCTCTGAGGTGGAATACACTGTAAGAGCTATCAGTCTTTATTTATATAAGGAAAATTTAAATAGATTATTTTTCATCAAATGTAATACCCCAAAACTTGATTCCTGTCTAATCTATAGTGAGAGATTATTTAAAGAAAGCCATCCACCTCTAGTTGCAGCAAATTTTAATCTGAATTTTTAAAGTATGATTTAATCAAATGTAGTGCTGTAAGTGCTCAACTGCATCTACATGCCAAGTGTAAACAATGTACCCAATATATTTATGCATTAGACTTTTTACAGTCTGTTCTCTCTTCCTAGTTTTTGAGTCCCCTGGAGTACAACTCTAGTAATTGTTACAGCAACAGGGTTATTGCATCTTTCATAAGATCAACAGAGGAAATTTAAAAAAAATCCTCTTTGTACAAAATTGTCTTGTTAGCCCTTTTGGAACACAAACTAGAAAAGTTTGAAAGGTAAAACAATGTACATTGTTATTTTTCCAACTAGACAAAAGTTCATACTAATTAAATAAAAAATAAAGTAGTTCTTTCACAGTCTAATTTAAAAATGTCTTCAGTGAAGCCATTCAGTGGGAATTTCCATTAGACAGATGTTCTCCATGCCGACTATTACTGCCATCCATGTCTAAAATTAGAGAATACAAAATGTAAGTCATTATCTGTTAAATTGGTCATTGTACACATTAAAAGGGTAAATTAAACTACATTATTTACTATGGTCATGTCATCAAGATAAATACTTAACTAGGATCCAAGTTCTACAGCTTTCAGTTGCACAAAATCCCTGCTGATTAAAGGATTGCCTAACTTAACCTCTAGCAAGTTAAGTGTTGTACAGCGAAAGACTACATATAAAGAGACTGAATTTTTAGGTCAGACAAGATTACACTGGTGCTTGACAAAGACGAAGAGGGAAAATTTTTAGCATTGCATGATTCACAGGAATAAAGTTGGGAAACACACAGACCTATAAACCTATTGCCTGGAACTGACATTTTTCAAAGAAAAAGTCCTCGTAGTGGCAAACATCATGTCATTGTATTACAGTACCCCATTACTAATGTACTCAGAATGGTTAAAGAGTGTAAAATTGCAACTATTAGAGAAAAACATTTTTCCAAGCAACTCTTGGAAGTACCAGATTTGAGCTGTTGTTTATTGTATTTATTTTACAGCTTACCAGGGCTCAGTCAGATGTTATTTGCGTAACATGAAACAGTTTGTAGTGCTACAAGAAACAGAACACTATAGGCCAGCAGTTTTCAGACTCTTGACAGATTGCGCACCACCAATTTAAAACGATACAACCTTCAGTATCACCAGCAAATTTTTCAGTTCAACTTTAAAGTACCATAAGCACATTTTTGTCATATAAAGGCATTATAAAAAAATCTGTTAATGCATACCACTGGTGGTACTGTACCACAAACTGGGAATTGCTGCTATAGGCAGTCACATGTGTACAGCCCCCTGGCTAAAACATTAAGAGTTGCCATTAAGGCATGCCCTCCAACCACTGCCCCTCTGTTCCCTCCCCCTCAACTCCAATGCGACACAGGCATCATCAGTTGGAAGAAGCTATGTGGGACAAAGGTTCCTCGTCCCCACCCTCTGTGCGCTTGAGGGGTGTGCGCTCCAGGGCTGTGCCCACAGCTGCAACTGCTGCCCTAAAACCAGCCCTTGTCCCAGGGCAGCCACAAAGGTTGTCAAGCACAGCCTACAGAAGCTTGCTGGGGGTGGGGAGGTATGGGTGATGCAACAGCTGTGGCAATGGGAAGAGCTGTCATGGCCCCTGCGGAACAAGCAGCTTCTCCTGGGATTCCTGCAAGGCAGGAGGTAGATCTGGTTGCTGCGGCTTGCCCAACAGAAGCCACGGCTGATTGATCCTGGGTTTTCTGCAGCCAGAACACTGGCTCCTGCCGATGTTTCACCTGTGCAGATGGGGTTCCTTGCAGCAGTTGCCAGAGCTCTTGGGCAAGAGCACATGTAGTTGCAGTAGCACTGCAGAGGACCCAAGCCTGCACCCAGAACACTGGATTGCGGGGGGGGGGACAGTTCCAGGATCCTTGACCCCCTACCCAGTCACCAATCAATCAGCTGACCTACTGAACCGAACAGGGGGCTACACACTGGGTACCTGAAGTTTAGGTTAGATATTTGGAAGAATTTTCTCACTAGCTGGGTAGTAAAATACTGGAACAGGTTATCAGAGAGATGGTGGAAGCTCCATCCTTGGGGTGTTTTCAAAACCCGGTTAGACAAAGCTTTGGCTGGGATGATCTGGTTGTGGCTGGTCCTGCTTTGAGCAGGTGGTTGGACTAGATGACCTCCTGAGGTCCCTTCTAATCCTAACATTCTATGATTCTACCTTGACAACTCACCAAGTGAGCTATCAGGGAACCAGCCACTCACTCCCTTCCCTCTTAGGACAAAAGTCACAGGGGAGCAGGGTGTCTGTGGGATACCAGGGGTAACTAACCTGCAGACATTAAAATTTGCTGCGGAAAGCCTTTCTGTGAGACAAAAGAAGTTAATGGTTTCAAACAAACTTTTATCCCAGGTCCTCCCATTTCGCATTTGATCCACCATTTCTTAAGCAGGATAAACAATGTGAACTTGTGGTAGTTTGTTCTTGTCCCACTACAAGCAGCACATAAAGCATGACAGATGTAACATCTGTCTAAACCCATAAACTTGTATTAATGAACACGTATGCATATATAGCAAGACACTGACAAACATGCAACTAAAAGGACCTCTCTGAAACATCATTTTATGGTACTGTGGACCCCAATCAAAAGCATGAGCAGAAAGGCTTACACCATGCCCTAATCATCAAGGCATGAAAGCAAATTGCTCATATGTGGGTTCATCTACATGAGACGTTCACTGCAGTTGTGTAATTAGCTCTGCAGTAAAAAGTTTCAGTGTCTACACATGCAGCCCTATAAGGTCTCAGTAAACTGGTTAATCCTGCGATGGGTTAGTACTTGTAAACACAAGTACTATCCTGCAGCAGTGTTATTTAGTGCACAGCAATGCACATGTAGAAGCTGAGGAATGAAGAAAACAAACAGGGACCTTTCCAAATGATAATTGTTTTCTAGAAGTGGTACCCCAGGCAGTAGGCCTGTGCGAACAGCAAAGTATTCAATTCGGATTCAGTCGATTCAGAGGACACTGACTCGATACAGTGATTCCAATCACTGTCCCCATTCGATTTGGCCAAATCGGAGATTCGGCACTGATTTGGAGATTCTGATCTGCCGGGGAGAGGCAGGCACAGCTGGGTGGCTGCAAGTGCTCCCACAGCTCTTCTGGCTGTGCCTGCCTCTCCCTGGGTGTGGGGAGCTGTGGAAGAAGCCCCCATGGCTGCCCTGCCTGCCCCATCCCCAGCCTAGTCCTGGCATTAAAAAAAAAAAATGCCCCACCACTCACCAGTTGCAGCAGAAGTTGTGGGGGCTCAGGGACCTCCTGGCAGAGCCCCCCACACACAGCCTCCGCTCCCTGGTTGCCTGCCCAGCGCCAGCAGCCCAGGAATCAAAAGATGCACTAAGAAAAAAACACCGTGGGGCAGTGGGGATTGCCCCTCCCCGTTGGCACTCACATGGCAGCTGCCCCATGGTGTGGGTGCAATGTGGCTCAGTAGGGCACAGTGCGCTTTCTGAGAGCTGGGACTGAGCAGTGCCAGGCTGCAGCTGACTGCTGGAGCCGCCCCAGCTCCCAAGCAGTGCACAGGGCCCTGCCGAGCCCAATGCACCCGCGCCATGGGGCAGCTGCCGTGCGAGTGCCAAGCAGGGGAGGGCAATCCCCACTGCCCCATGCTGCACAGGGGCTCTGCCACAAGCACCCAGAGGGCCTGATCACTGCTGTCAGAACTGGTGAGTGCAGGGCTTTTTTTCCCCTTCAAATTGCCGGGATGCTGGGGGCAGACAGAGGGGTGTGATTGGGGAGCAAGGTCTGTGCGGGGGGGGGGGGG